AAAAATTGGAATTCCTAAGAAGGTAAATATAGTATGCAGATTTGTTAAGCGCCAAACAACTAACGCAGGAGCGGTTTCCGAATTGAAATTAATGCATTTTTGGCAAAGTTATGCGATTTTTAAGCTTTGACTGTCCCAAAAATACTACAAAATTATTAAGTAAAAATTTCGATTTTAGGAATCTTGCAGAGGAAAATTTAATTTTAATCAGTGAAGGAGCCATTTCCGACCCTATAAATCATATATATTCTTGATCAGCATTAACAGGCGAATCTTTCTGGCCATCGCAGGAAGCAAAACAGACTTTTCCAATTTTTTTTTAATTTTAAGGGGTAACATCATTAAAATTGTGAGAAATCTAAAAAAAATTTGGATTTCCTAAAAAGGTAAATATAGTATGCAGATTTGTTAAGCGCCAAACAATTTTTTAGATTTTTCACAATTTGAATGATGTAACCCCTTACAATAATAATAATAATTTATGAATTTCCTTTTTAATCGAATTTTCAGCTTACATCCTTGGCCTTTTAAAGTTCGTTAAAGTCACTTAAGGAGCACATATAAAGGACAAGGTGACATAAAATATTTGATTTATTTGCGACAATAGCTTGAGGAGCTCAGCAGCAGTGAACTGGCATTAAGCTTATTTGGTAAATGCTTTCTTATTTTCTGTTTCCCCACCGCAAATGTGACTTATAATTCCCTCTGTGTTTTTTTTCCAGCCACGATCCAAGCTGATGTCTGGCGAGGCCTACTGCGTGTAAAGGATAATGCCATCGTCTTAGCCAATGTCTTGGATTTCGCCCCCCGGAATCGGTGGCGGAGTATTATAAAGTCAAGTGCGCGCTTGCCGCATGTTATCCCTTATCCAAGTGCGATTGTGATAGCACAAGGGGAGGTCGATTTAGGGTGTGGGAGTGGCCCTGTGTTTGTGCATCATTTGATTAACGTAATCGAATGACACGCCATATGCCAGTCAGTCAGCTAGTCATTCAGGCTTCCCAGTCACCCAGGCATCCTCCCTCCACCCAGGTATCCAGTCACCCAGGACAGCCGACTCATCCGCAGGCCCTGCGGGAGATTTAAACGAAGTAAGTCGGTAAAAAGTCACCAAGGCGCACATGCTCCAGTCATGTCTCTGTTTGATAAACAATTGACACATATACTACGCAGGGGCAGGAAGTCGGAGAAGGACCAGGAGAGAAGGAGGACACAACACATGTAGCAAAATCAATTTTCACCTTTTCACTTGATCAATTTCTTAACGGCAATGAAAAGTTTTCTGCGAAGTAAGCTGAGCGCACGATTGCGGAATGTCAAGCAGGCCTGGAGCCAGGACGATGGCTGGGAAGGCACAAGGCACAAGGCACAGATAGCATCATTTGCATTTTCCATCCCCCCATCCACATCCCCATCCGCCCACGCACCTTAACAGTTAGCAGGACGAAGGATGAAAGGATGTAGTATGTGTGTGTGGCAATGGAGATGCCAGTGCAGCTTTCTCACTTTACGTTTCGCTGCGTCCCATTAAAAATTATGCTGGAAAGAAAAGCAGACGGAGGCAGAGAAATAACACACGGACATGGTCACGGATGCGGCTGATTCGGATACGTTGCGATGGAGGAGGAGTTGGACCACTCCTGCCCTCAGCCGGAAGCAGCAAATTTTCATTTTATTTATTTTGCAAAGTGCCTCCGACAAGGGGCTGGAAAAGGGTTCGGTTCGGTTGGAAGCTGGTTGCAGGACCGGCGTGTCACGCGGCCCTGACAGGACTCGTGTCACGGCAACAGGGCGGATGAAGTTTGCTTCATTGGCTCAGCATAATTGTTTCCTGTTCAGCTCTCGGACGGCTGCCCCATGGTCACACGCCCACTGGCATTTACATGCCAGCTCGGGCGGCGAGCCGAATGGGACAGTGGGACAATGGAGAATGTCAGATGCTGGAGCAAAGGAATCCGGAATCCGGAATCTGGAAACTGGAATCCTGGCACCAGGAGCCGGTTCGTTACGCCGCCTGACATGTCCTGACTGGCGTCGACAGGCGATAATGATGCCATGCCCGAAGACCATTGAGGCCTCAACTGGTTCTGCATTCAGATTCTGAGTCTGAGTCCGAGTCCGAGTCCGGGGGTCACTCACTAATTGATTGACCTGCCCAATTTTATGGCCTGTCAATGTCGCTGATTGACTGGCCGACTGGCTGACTGGCTGACTGGCCGGCTGCCCTGACTGCCATCCCGTCTGATTGACAGATGCACATGGCGACCATGACTCCACCTCCTTGATCCCACCAACCCGCAGTATAGTATATAGTGAGGCTGTAACTTTTAGTGCGACTCGTTGGCGACGGCGATGACCTCGAGATTGGTTGTGCAGCTCTTAAACCGACAACTGACTCTCGCCTGGCAGCCACAGAAGTCGCATTTAATTGGCCAATAAAAACCAACAGCAGATGGCCGAAATGAAGCCGCCGCAACAACAAACAGAAAGCCGTTTAATGAGTTTGGCTTTAAAAATGGCGCGAAGAAGTTACCAAGTTACCAAGTTACCGATTTACCCCTTTTTCTCATTTCCCACATTTTCTATTTGCGCTTTCCTTTTCTTATTAGCAATTGATGTGCATACAAAATACAAATTAATTTTGTCATCCGCAGGCATCACACACACGTCCCCATTCGGCTTACATTTCTTTTGGCAAGGATACCCCAAAAGAGGAGCAAAAAATTGCCACGCAGACATAATGGCAGGCCACGGAAACGGAAGCTAAAGTTGGAATCGGTTCCGGGAATGGGAATGGGAATGGGAATCCTATGCCAAATGTCACACAGACCTACTACTTGATTGTATGACTCATTCGCACACAGGCTAACCAGGATCCAGGATCCAGGACCCCCATGCATACTGGGAGGTACTCACTCAGTCAGTCAGTCAGTTAGTCATTCAGTCAGTTAGTCCGTCGTCTGTCAATGGGAGAGACATTTTGCTAACGTGAAATTCGCGTACGAACGGGGGAGAAATAAAGGGGTGGTGGTGGCAGCGATATTCTCAACGATATTCCCCATTACAAATTCAATTACATGCTTAGCTACACTTTAGAGAAATTGAATTTTTATGTGCATTTATATTTAGTATATTTTTACATCCCAACCTACTACACATGTATGCGCAGGTGGAGGAAGCTTGAAGCTGGAAACGGACACGGAGACGGAGGCGAAGCTGAAGGCTCTGCGGTTAGCTAAGGGATTCCATCAGGCGTTTTCATAGTCGCAACGGGTCGACAACTTAATCTCCGAGCAGTGCATAAGTGGAATTGAAACTGGCCACCCCCAAAAAACTACGCCATCTCCGTCCAGAATCGGAGTCGCATTCGGAGTCTGGGCAAGACAATTGGGAAATGGATCGTTTCGCTTCGGTTTATCTAACTGCGGCGACACCTTAATTATGGCATTTGCCAGACAGCATGGCAGAACGAATAAGAAAATAACAGAAAACAAGAAAGGAAGCTAACTTCGGCACGCCGAAGATTATATACCCTTGCAGATAGAACTTCGACGACGAGGAATCCATACAATATAAATTATATATATTTGTGTTAAAAAACAATGAAGTAATACCTGCTTTCATTTCATTCACCTATAAATATTATATTTGCAGTTTTACATTCACAGGATTGCATTTTTGCTCTACATCTAACGATTGTTTGTATGGCACCTATATGATATAGTCGTCCTATTTTCATTAAATTTAACACAAAATTTAAGACTAATATAAAACGGCTATACCTTTTATTTTATGAAAATCTGTTGAAAACTGAAAAAGTTATAATTTTTAATTGTAATAATTTCTCGATCGTTCCTATGGGAGCTATATGATATAGTCGTCCAATTTTCATAAAATTTTACACAAAATTGTAGAATAATATGAAATGGCTACATCTCAAATTTAATCAAATTCTGTTGTAAACTGAAAATGTTAAATTTTTTGTTGTAAAAATTTTCCGACCATTTCTATGCCAGCTATATGATATAGTCGTCCGATCTGGCCCGTTCCGAGATATATACGAGTGAGAGTATATAGAAGGCTAACTACAAAGTTTCATTCAGATAGCTTCAAAACTGAGAGACTAGTTTGCGTAGAAACGGACAGACGGAGAGACGGACAGAAGGACAGACGGACATGGCTAGATCGACTCGGCTGTTGATTGTGATCAAGAATAAATATACTTTATATGGTCGGAGGTGCCTCCTTCACTGCGTAGCAAACTTCTGACTGAAATTATAATACCCTGCAAGGGTATAAAAAAGGGAGGAGGCACGCCTGACTCCACTGACTCCACTGCATCCTTGCATCCTTGCTTCCAGCCAGTCAGCCATCCGGCAAGGAGACGGAGAAAGGATGCGTGACAGACAAGAGAACAAGGCATTGTCTCCCGACGAACTAAATTAGATTTCGGTTTTGGCAAATGCCAGGGCCACGACCAGCATTGCAGCCGCCACATGGCTCTTGGCTTACACGCAGAATAATTATAATAATAATATTATATAAATTGAAATGTATAATTTTGTTTAATTTATAACCTATGACCCAAGTACTTTTGTCATTTAAAAGTTCTATTAAAATCCTATCTTATTATTATTTAAAAAGCCAATCGGATTTCTTTAACTGTAGCAGATGGCTGTGGTGTTTGCTATTAATGTCGCCTACTCTCTGAACTCGAAGCACGATCTGCACATGTTCAACGCACGCATAATGCCCCTCTGCCCCTTCGGTCCACTTCCTGGATCTGGTTGCTCCAGGAGAGTGGAGGTCCTGGTGGGACTTGGCCAAAGTGGTTTAAGGCACACGATTATCCCAGTCACCGCCGCTACTCCCTGTTCATCGTTAAGTTTAAATCTAAAATACCAAAATAAGTCCATCGCTATTCCACAAAGTGAATTAACTTCCCATGTTATGTTAATTAAATTTAGCATTCATTTCAATTGACTAGATCAGTTGTTTTTTTATGTTGTTGCGTAAAAAGCATAAGGTACATCAAAATTTATACATAATAAAAATATTGCCAACTTGCAAATGTGTCTATTCCGAGTTCGGATCATCCAGATCCGGTACAGCATAGGTGCTGGTCCAGAGGCGTGCATTGGCCTCATATGCCTCGGGGTCATGCTTTAGCAAGGAAGCAAATGAGAGTACCAACGGATCGTCCGGATTTGGGTCCCCCAGCAGCGAAATAACTGATATCAACACCTTTGAAACAGTTAAGGCTGGGGACCATTCCGACGAGAGGATGTCTAAGCAAATGTTTCCGGAGGACGCAATATTACAATGATAGATCTTGGTACGGAAGGACACTTTCGGTGGCATGTAGGGATATTCTTCGCCAAAAACTAAATCTAAATGAAATACGCCCCCCTCATAGGGAGTTCCTTCGGGGCCCTTGATGGTTGCCTTCCACTTAAATATATCCCGCTCAACCTCCACTTGGCAGCCTTCTGGTGTATCCCGCATAAATGCATCCAATTCTCGTCGAATCCTCTGTGCGGCACTGCGCTCATTACGTTGTCTTGAAGTCGTGGGCGCATTTCCGCTTGGCGCACTTCCGCTTGGAGCACTTCCGCCTGGTGCACTTCTTCCTGACGCACTTCCGCTTGGCGCACTTTCGCTTGGCGCACTTTCGCCTGACGCAATTCCGCGGGATGCACCGGGCAATGGCCGTAGCGGCGGCATGGGTCTATCGGCTGATCCACCTGCCGAGATCATCTGGGAGAATGGCACTAATGGCGGCATAGGTCTCAGAGCGACAGCAGCTCCTTCAGATACTGCGGCTCCTGCAGATACTGGAACTCCTGCAGATACTGGGGATCCTGCGGATATTGGAGCTAATGCAGGTACTGCGGCTCCTTCAGATATTGGGGCTCCTGCAGATACTGGAGCTAATGCAGGTACTGCGGCTCCTTCAGATGTTGGGGCTCCTGCAGGGACTGGGCCTCCTGCAAATACTGGAACTCCTGCAGATACTGGTGCTCCTTCAGAGACTGGAACTCCTCCAGACACTGGGCCTCCTGCAAATACTAAGGCTCCTGCAGATACTGGGGCTCCCCCAGACACTGGACCTCCTGCAGATACTGGAACTCCTCCAAACATAGGGCCTCCTGCAGACACTGGAACTCCTTCAAATACTGCGGCTCCTGGAGCTTCTGAAGCCATGGCAATTTCCGAGCCGGCGGCCAGAGGCGTTATGGCAGGTGGGGCGCCATTCGTGCCGAAAATGTTCAGTAGTGCCAAGTAGTGGCGACGGTTTGCGGTGTTATGTTGGCGGCGTCCCCTTGCCACATTAATAGTTGACGAATTCAAGGGAATTCCCCGAAAGCGCGCAGCCGCGGCCCTGGCGGTCTCAGCAGCTTGGGCTGCCTGATTGCGCATCCTAATCCGCTCGCTACGACGCAGAGGAGGAGCATTCTCAGCAGGCTGTACATTACGACGGGACGGCATGATCTTTAAACAACAAAAAAAGTCTTTTCAAATGGCGGACAAAAAAAAACACGACTTTTTCCAAAACTCTCACCTTGACTGCTTTCTTTAACGAAATGTAATGAAATATTCACGTTGTACGAGTTGTCTTGATTGTATTTCAAGTTTTTATTGTTCAGTAACGCTTTTACTTGGGGGATTGACACAAAAAGAAGAGATTTGTGATATTAAAAGTTCCGAACAATTTTCCAACGATCCAAACGGCGACAAAACTTTTTTGCAAAAGCACAGAGTTGCCACGTTGTTAGTTTTAGCATTGTTCAGATTTTTACATCCAGAACGTTCACATCTTTCAAACTGTGAAAATCTATCGCGAGCTTGGAAGCTACCTATAAAGTGAAGTTCACATTTGTAATGTCTATAATGAAGCAAGAACTACCATCCGAAAAATGGTGAAATGTTTTTTGCTTACTTGATGAGGCAGTTTCCTTTTCAGATATTCTTTCAGAAGGATATCCAGATATCCTTTCAGAGAATCTGCCAGTTTTTCTGCCTTCACTCCTGGATTTATTAAACAGTATTTAATATTATTCTAAAAGTTTCCTTTTTATAAGGTTATTGGAGCAACATACTGAATTCAAAATGTAAATTTTAAAATATCAGCAAGTTTTTGATTATTGAAATAATATAACCACTTTCACCCCTGTTTTTATAATTTTATATATATTTTATATATATACATAGCTACCTATAAAGTAGAGTCCACATTTGAAATGTCTATTATGAAGTTGAGGCGGAATTTCTTCTTCCAGAGTATGAAGTTGAGGCGGAATTTCTTCTTCCAGATATTCTTCCAAAATGAAATCATATAACTAATCCAGCATGTTCTTTTGCTTTCGCTCCTGAATTTTTTACAAACTGTTCTCGCTTTTGACGACACAATGTTTTTACTAAAATATCACTAAAATTGCAGTTAGTTATTATAAAAAATCTTTCCTTACATTAATAATTTTATAATATTTACGTAATTTTATACCATCCTGAAATGTAAAATCCCCTTGATTTGAAAGTTAATTTCCCAATTTGGTTATTTCCCAAAAACGCGTCATTGATAGCTGTGGTAGTTTTTTCTAATTAAAATAATGTAACTCCTATACATTTTACAAAAATTATTTTCAAGAAGACGCGGAATTTTTCTTATATATTTTACGGAAATGTGTCAAGTGGAAAATGTGCTTTCGTTATATGGTAAGTGTAACCATCTTAATGTTAACATGCGAGAGAAGCTGCAACACCAAGTTGCACCTTTTACCACACTGGCTAAATGGCTTCACTTTGAAATTGCAAATTATTTCTGCTTAAATAAGAAGCTTGAGCTTGAGTCAGTGAAGACTAGTTTCTAAGGAAAAACTTACGTCTTACATAATTTGCGGAAAGTGCATGCAAACTCTTATTGAGTAACAACAACGAAGAGCTTCTTTTCGCATGAATTTCTTATGTGCGCGTTGCGCCTGCGCAGAATTATCAACTCAAAAGTTTTTTCAATTGAGTGCTTAATAAGTATAAACAAAAAATACCAACTTTACTGAGAAGTAGAATCAGGAGCTGGCTGGAGTTACTGGTTTTGATTCCGGCTTGAAGGCAAAGAAGATAAGAGGCCAAAAGCCTCAGTAACAAACAGGTTTTCCCTATTAAGTTGAAGGGCTCGGAACAAGTCGATATGGTAAGCTAATTAATGTCCTAAGTAAAGATTCCCTAAAATAAATGTTGTCTTTTTCGAAGACCCTTCCCATTGTCCAAAGACAAAGGCGAGTAGGATCTGCGCGGTGGAGTTTCATGGACAAGCCAAGTGAGGAATTGGAAGTCGAAATAATATTCGATTAATATAAAAAATAAACATACCCAAGGTAAAATATGATTATTTATATTATAACAATTTTAAAGCACTTAATGAATCCACTTTTGGCCCCACGAAATACCCATCTCGACTGGTGATGAATGTCCAATTAAAGCCACTAGGTCGCAGTTCGGTCACAGTATGCAGTCCAGTTCATTCTTTTCGACATTGTCTGTCCTCTCTGCCATTTCCTACTGGCTGGCATTCCGTTTCAATTTGTTGCAGTTACTTTAAACAATTACCAAGGCACACGAACAGCTGCAAAGGAGCTGGCCCGGAGGCGGAGGCCTGGGACAATGGCTGCTGGTGGTGACCCAAACAGGTCGAGTTGTGTTCTTTTGAGAAAGCCCCATAATAATTTAATGATGAACAAGGACGACAGCAGCTCCACTATCCTCTCTCTGTGTGTGTGTGTTAATCTGTATAATTTATGCGACAATTGATGCAAAAATGAAATTTGTCCCCCATCTGAAAAGAAGCGCCTGTGGTTTGGGGGCTGTCGGAACTCGAAGGATCTTGGGGTTTGATGAGACAGGGTCCTCTCCACATATCCCAGATATCCTATAACCAATCCTGTCCCTCAACCCCCTGCTGTCTCTGCTCGCAGACTGCTTTTCTACGTAAACGTGGCATACAAATTGCACTCATTTTAGTTTCTCACGTTTGTTGCATGTTGTACATGACTGCAACGCGCACGCACACAAATTGATGCACATACGAGCGAGCGCATGAGGAGGGTAGGCCTCGACCTCTGCTTAGTCTCGCTTCCAGTCCTCCATCCTCCAGTTATCCTCCAGCTCCCCATTATCCTGCCCGCAGCCTCGCCTGCTTTTGCTGTTGCTGCTGTTGCTGTTGCTGCTGCTGCTGCTGTTGCTGTTGCTGTTGCTGTTGCTGTAGTTGCTGCTGCTGTTGCTGCTGCTGCTGTTGTTGCTGCTGCTGCTGTAGCTGTTGCTGCTCTTGCTGTTGCTGCTGCTGTTGCTGCTGTTGCTGCTGTTGCTGCTGTTGCTGCTGTTGCTGCTGCTGCTCTTGCTGTTGCTGTTGCTGTTGCTGTTGCTGTTGCTGTTGCTGTTGCTGCTGTTGCTGCTGCTGCTGCTCTGTTTTCCTGTCGCTTCATCGGCATGCGACAAACGGAAATGTTGCTTTTATGCTTTAAATATGGCAACTTTGTGGTGTCGAAAGACACACTCACTTGTGGCGGTGGTGGCAAGGCACCTCCCCATTTTGGCAGTCGTGTCGATTGCACGTCTTGCCCAGCTTTCCCTCCCGCTTTCCCATTTCCCCCAGTTCTTGGTCCTGCCTATGCCATATCCTCAGCCTGACCCCTGCCTTTGTATAGCTATCTCCCGGGGTGTGCCGTGCGGTCTGTGTGTGTGTGTGTGTGTTGAGCGAGTGTTTGAGCGATCGACCATGAAGCCTTCATTATTGCATTTCATGATTTTGCGGTTCTTTATGCCCGTTCCTTCACACTAGCATACATGGGCGGCGACAAGGGCAGGACACACTGGACGAGCAGCAGCGTCTGCCATGTGCCATGTGCCATGTGCCATGTGCCCCATTTGCCATGTGTTTGGCCTGGACGGGACTGGTGTCGACACTTTCACAACAACCAGCCTGCATAGCCTGCATCCTCATTCTCATCCACATCCACATTCAGAGCGACAAAGACATCACACAGTCAGCTTCAGCTCCAGATATGGCTTTCCCTCGTCCTGCATTCATTTCCATCTCGAGACCCACTTCGGTCTCCGTCTGTGCCAGTGTCTGTGTCTCTGTCCTCTGTCCTCTCTGTCCTCCATTCAAATTTTCAATATTTTCTGTGTGTGTCGCCGGTCGTTATCACGCATTTCCTGCCATTTGCATCGTCATCGTCATCTCCATATCTCCACCATTGCCATTGGCATTGGATTGGTAACGGGAATTGCAGCCACAAGACGCGGGCTACGTACGTGGTCAGGATGCGGGAGCCAGGAGCCGGTAACCTACTCTACCGACTTGACCAATTTGCCGCCTCTGCGGTTCCGGGTTGAGCGCATTAGGCCGCATATTGGGCACAATTCCACGGTGAAAATTCGATCATGGGTTCGCGAATCAAAGGGAAGGTTTTTTTCTTTAGACATGTTGTAAATTTTGAAGAAATTCACAAGTTTTCTGGATTTCCAAATGCATTAATTACACCACAATCTTGTATGTTCATATATTCCGATATTGCATCGAATAATTTTGAAGTCGGAGAAGAAGGTATGGGCATAAGAGGTTCAAAATTTCATTGATATATGCATGTAAAAAAATTGGGAAGTGACACAGTAAATATTGGCCATACAGGCTTCTACTAATTCTGACAATAGCCTTAGTCAATGAACATTTAGTTAAAGTTCATTTTTAAATAGAAGAATGAAATATATTTCTATAAAAACATTTCTTTCCTGATTTTCCTAAATTAACCCGTTTTCCTTTTCGTTTGTATTACAGCTTTGTACATAATATAATTCAATTTTAATAAAATACCAAGCAATTTCAAATCGTAAAAAAAAACAATTATACATCAGCAACAACAACAACCTTTTGTACAACATAATTTAAATTGTAAGTAATCAATGTTTATTTATAAAAATGTAAAATCCCACAATTGTAAAAAGAAAAAGGTAACACATAAATATAACCGCCAACATTTAAATTAAAATTTATTAAGAAGGGAAGCTAACTTTTGCAGGCCTTGAAATTCCATCATTTATAATTAAAACAATATTAATTATATATATTTGTGATTGTAATTTCATTCAGGAGCTTCTAAAAATGTGAAGGAGTCATTTCCGACCCTATAAATATATATTCTTGATCAGCATCAATTCTAGCTATCTCTGACAGAAAAATGTTTCTAAAATTTTAAATTTTTCAAAAAACAGGAAAGGTGTTACATCGTTAAAATTTTCAAAATTTGTTAAAAATTTTAAACCTTAAATTGAGTATGCAGATTTATTAACCTGATAAAAACTAACATTGGAACGCTTTCCGAATTTAAATTAAGGCTATTTTGGCTGAGTTTCATTTTCAACTTTGATTTGTTTGAAAGAATATCGTTTTTTAAAAAGCGAATATTTAAGCAATGATCGATTTCCCATTTGATCCTTTAATTACAATGCAAACTGCCAGGGTATTTAAACTTTGGCATCATGAAGTTAGTTTCATTTCCTGTTTCAAATAAGAAACTAATTCTTCTTAATTAGTTTATTTGATTTGCTTTAAGCTATATTTCCATGATTTGCATTCTATGACCAGCACAAGTAGCTGCCACCACTTGGCTTTCCCACGGTCATCGTGGGGTCACGGGTCACCCAAAAACCATGACCAATGATCAGTGACAACTGGGGCTTCCTCTATCTGACCATCTGACCGACTCAGGTCATAATCCGAGTGGGGGAATCCGCGTCCGCCGGGGGAAAGCAGCAACATTGCTTTCAGCTGTTAATGCCACTGATTGCTAATAAATTGAAAACCATTTCAGCAACGACAGACCAAAGGACCAAAGGCAGGGATTTACAGTCCGCTGTCGGAATCGAAATCGAAATCGGTGGCAGAGAGTCCAAGTCCCAAGCCGCCCCTTTAATGAATATGCAAAAACAAGGTAAACAGTGAATAAAATCAAAATAAAAACTCATTTATCAACACGCATGCCAGACAGGACACAGGCGCACAGTCTATCCATCTCCATCGATAAAACTGGACAAATGTGGGGCTTTTGCCGCTGGCTTCAGCTCCAGCTCCTGCTCGAGCTCCTGCCGATGGCCAAAAGGGAAAAGGTCACAAAAGCAGGTTAAGCTGCTTTTTAAATAATACGCACAACACGTTAATACACACGGGGACCAGGACCAGCGGCAGGCAAAGGCAATCCTTTTTCGCTCTAAGGGAAGACAGAGAGACAGAGAGAGAGAGAGAGGATAAAGGGATAGAAAGGATATGCCGGGGCCACGTGCGAACAGCTCCGCTGGCGACCAACGACTGTTTGGCTGGCAAGGATATTACGAGCGACTGAATCATCGGTCTTCAACGAAAGGACATTCGGCATGGCATCGTGCGATGCTCGGCCACAAGTTCGTGCCCCATCGAGCTCCACGATTGGCGATGCCATCGGAGTCGGGACATGTCCTCGGCATTCGGCATGGCCACTGCGGCCGCTCAGCGGATCCGTTCCGTAATCCGTTCGCTGGATTTTTTGAATTAGTTGCGTGTGGTAGCTTGTTGACATCAGTACCGGGTACCGGATGCGAATTTGCGAATGCGGATGCGGACACGTGCGTGGCTCGCCAATCTCGACAAGTTCTCGACTCCTTTTGCTAGTTTCTAATTTAGTGAGGAGATCCTTTTGTTTGTCTCTTGTTTTCTTGTTTTTTTCTCGTTTATGTTTCTTTTTTTTTTGAACAGTCGCTGCGTGTGTGAGTGAGGTGAGGTGAGTGATTTTTTCTTTTTTTTTTTGGTTGTTGTGTGTTTTGAGAGAAGGCGCCTCCCCGCCGCAACAGTTGCTGATCCGAACTAAGCCCCAAAAAAGGCACACAAAGGACCAGAAACCCAAACCAGGCTCAGGCTACACAACTGACCTGCGGTCGTCGATTGCCGGTGGGATGGTCAATGGTCGATGGTCGATAGTCTCTGGTCTCTGGTCCCTGGTCACTAGTCCTGCCTGCTCGCCGGTTGTCCGTTCAGCTAGTTTTGCGGTCACTTTGACGCGGTCGCGGGCAATTTGAAAGCCAACACCGAAACGCCGATTACGATTACGATAAGTGCAGTGGAGGAGTAGCTAGAAAAGAGGAGCTGGAGTGGCATTGGTGTTGCAAGTGGAATGCTCATCATCATCATCATCGGGAAACACAAACATTTCGCTTTTGCTTTTGCTCCCCAAATGCCTGTATTTCATTTATCGCCACCTCACCTTGCCAATTTCCCTTCCGTTTTTGTCCTTGTTTTAGTTTCTGCCAGTTACCCTCAACAGTAAGCCCTCAACAGTGGCCAAGTGCAATTAAAGACTGGCAGCAACAGCAGCAGCAGAGGAGAAATATTAAATACTAAATGCCAGCATCTGCTGAGCTCCTCGCCTGTTGCCACCGTTGAAGGCAGCCATCACCAGGAGCAGTTCCCACGGGTGTCCCCAGTCATCCGTCCACTTTTCGAGTGCGAACAGGTGAGTGACAATGCAAATAAAGATCTCTGGTGAATTGGGGGCTTGATCGGGTTACATTTTGACAATCTTTTTGTTGGCTTTAACCATAAATAAATAAAAGTCCAAGGATTAAATAGAAATTACTTGGAAATGTTTTACATGACAGGTTGATGTTGAATATCCTGAAGCAGCTTAATAGTTGGTTTTTAAGGATATTATAAGAGAAAGGAAGATTTAGGTTTCATTTAAATGAAAAGACGTTTGAAGGCAGTTGCTAAATATTGTAGAAATTAATAAAGCTTGTTTTTAACTTCCCTTTTCTATTAAAGAGATGTGTATTATATTAATCCCAAATTGATTATTATAATATCTTCTTTATGTGATATATATTTCAATCGTGCAGGCTCAAGTCTTTGTTCCGCTGATAATTTTTCAACAATGCTATAAAACATCAAAGCAAAAATGCACTAGCAATATACATTGATTAATTCGTACATTTTTGGCAATTTAATCAGCTTTGAAATTCTTTGATAACATTAATTTTAACAAAAGCTTAACAAAATATGAGCAAGCAATCAATTGATCGATTGCTGATTAGGTCCTGGGGAACCTTTGTTGAGAGCTTTCTTATGCAGACTTCGGATTTCCCAGACTGTCTCCCGACTTTGGATCAGACTTCTCCTCACTCTCCTGATCCTCTTCCAGCAATAGGACTGACTCAACGATATAGGGACACTCATCCAAGTTCTCCTTGTCTAGTAATTCATCCTCATCCTCCTCGCTGAACATCAGCTGATAGGTATTATGCGACATATTGTCCTGGCCATAATCTTCGACCTGATCTGAACCCGACTCCTCCATCTCGGACTCGGACTCCACCTCTTCGTCCTTCTCGGACTCAATATCACTGTCACAGTCGCAGCAGACAATCTCATGGGCCAATAGGGCCAGAGCCTCCTCGCAAAATAGCTCCACATCGTCCAGATCGAGTTCCGAGTCCGACTCAGAGCTCCCGACAAGTGGACTATACATAAATCTGGCACAGTCGATGCCCAGATTCAAACCAGCCTCCGCTTCGGGTTGGTTATCGACTGTACGAAGAAGGGCATATATGACATGGATATGGAATAGGAATCATTCTACCTTTAGCGTCGCCCTCACTGTCCTCCAAATTGCTGCTGCTGCTGCTGCTGCTGCTGTTGCTGCTGCAGCTACTATTGCTATTGACCGGCTTGGGTTCCTCGCCGAGATTGACCAACACCTGCAACTCCGGATTCAACTGCAGCTGAACCCTGGAGGCTACATCCCGCTTGGAGCTACCAGTTCCGTGGCTGGTCATTTTCGATTAAGCCTGCGGCTAGCTACCAACAACTACCACAACAAGAGTTTGTCTTTGTCCTGGGTCTCGTTTTTTGTTCAGTGCAACTTGTTCAGGGCTTCGTCTCAGACTGCCAACCATTGGGATTTTGAATTTGTTGTCGATGCGTGTTTTTTTGAAATCCCTAGCCCAGGCCACTGCGATTGGGCCTGGAATAGTCTAGAGTTTAAGATGTTGAAACAGGAAGCCAAGCTGACGGCACGTAATATCCCGGGACACCAAGGATAGTGAATTAAATTTTATGCCAACTGCATTGCCCTTAAAGGGAGAGAGTTCTTCGAGGCGCAGTCAATGATGAACTCGGAACACACACATACATATACGAGGGAAGGACATGAGCTGGCGGCTACCGTAGGAAAATAACATTTGAAATTTTATTTCCTTGGCCGGGGCCAGCAAAAATGCAACAAATAAAAGCAAGCCACGAGCCGACGCGCTAACCCCCATTGCCACTCTGGAGTTGGGAGTCCATGGAGCCATGGTTATCATTGTATCACTCTCATCTGGGCCAGGCGACACGTCCTTCCCTGAGCTCTCCTCCTCCAACTCCATATTCGCTGCGAGGGATAGGATAGGCTTCGCCTAGGTCATACCTCGTAAACCCATCGAAGGAGTTGAAAAACAAATAGTTGTGTAGAAAGAAGTTCCACCTGAAATTACATTCCTTTTAAGCCCAGTTGAAGAAGATCCTTTCTTGATGAGTTATCTAGAAGTCTTCCTGCTGCCACTTGTCTAATATACCTCAGCTAGCTCTGGCCAACTTTTAGACATTTCCCATTTGCATCCAGCCATTTGCACTTCGCTTTCTCCCATCCTGGCCTTTGCTCGCGTTGGACCCCGTACAGTACCCGAGCAGGACCCAGGACCACTTTGGCGAACCACAATTTCATTTCGCTTTGCCATGCCGTTTAGCCTGTTTTGGTTTCGGTGCAGTTGCCATCCTTTTTTTTTTTTGCTTTCATTTTTTTCGGCTGGTGCTCCTCCTCGCTGCTGTTGTGTCCTGTCCAGAGCCTTCCGGTCGTCAGAGGCAGAGTCGCTTTTGTGGTGCCTGCTCCTGCTGCTGCTGCTGCTCTCTCTCTCCTGGTTGGCATTGTGTCGCCATGGCCAAGACCCAGTTTCATCAGCACTTTCAGTTCCACATAGCTCAAGTCCTGTATCCAAATCCCAGCCGCTTGCCGCGTTAACGAACATAATAACCCTTTTCTCACTAATTACACACCAAATTTACTACAAACGAGCAATAAAAATCATCCAAGCAAAATCTCTGCGCCGCCCTGCCAGCGTTTAAATGCAAATGCTTTTTTCTCACGCACAGCACAACGCAAAAAAAAGAAAGAAAACATTAACAACAATGACAATAAATGAAAGACATTAATGCTAAGCGATCCGCATCTCGTTTGTGAGAGGGGAATGATAAAGGGAAGCTCGACGTTGACAACGATTGGCGACCGTGACAGGCACGGCTCACAGCAGTTTTCCCGCTGAGAGTCCTCGACAGTCAATGAAATAAAATTAAACAATTATGAAACAAAAAAAAGGCTCAGAGCTTGGTGCAGGATGTGAGGGGGATGATGTGGAGTGTTATCCTAGGACGAGGACTCTGTCATAATCTGGCTCCATGGCAAGTGTATATGTATATTCCAAGCACGCCCGTCCCTCGTCCTGTTTAGTGGGTACATGTATAATTATTTGATGCAGTGCTCTTCCCCAGCCACATTCACATCCCCATCACCATCACCATCACCATCCTTCCTCTCTCTACAGCTGGTAACTTCCACTTAAACCTCACTCATTCACTCACCCGACAGTGGGCCAAATTTTACGCGACGTAATCGTAATATGATTATCGTGCCACACAATCCCTGTCCTTGGTCCTTCGTCTCTGTCGCTCTCACTCTGTGTGTGTGTGTGTGTGTGTGGGGATGTGTTAAATAACTTCCTTCCGGTGGCGACAACATCAACCAGCCAGGCAGCCGTACTCGTGTATCCGCTTCCGTCGAATGATGCCGCAGAAATGCTCTAAATCTCATATCATCATTTACGCAGTAATTTTTAGAAGCCAACTGGATGATGAGGCCAAGGGCCAAGCCACCTTACATCCACAGGACACGGACACGGACACTTTGGCCCTTAGTCAAAGGCAACTCCATCACCCATCAACCATTTCCCATTGCCATTGCCATTCTCATTCCCATAATAAACAAAGCTTCAGCTCGCAACTCATGCGAGTCAACTTCCCACCAGCAAGGACGACGACTGTGACTCTGACTCTGACTGGGATTGGGGTATGGTATCCTGTGCGTCGGGGACACGTCCATCCATCCCTCCAACCAACCAACCGGATGTGGGCGAGCCAAGTTGGTGGGGCTTTTCTGCTCGCCGAGTGTCCTTATTTTAATCTCGACACAAGTTAACAGCATTGTTGGCAGCCGCGTGCCATCCGTGAGCTTTGCTCCTGCTCCGTCTCCTCTCCTGGAGTCTCTCTTTAGACCTCTCTTTCACCATCAGCATAATGCGCCCAGAGCTCGGCATTCATCGCAACCGCAGCTCCTTTCCTGGCTCCTTTCCTACTTCATCATTGACTTGGCCTGGTGCGGCCTTAGTTTCAGTTTCAGTTTCAGCTGCCGGAATCCCCTCGACGTTCTATGAGTCTCGTCTCCTTGCTCGTCCTTCGTCCTCGTCCCCGTCATCCACATCCTTGTCATTAGCAGTTAGCATTCAGACGGCATCGTCATCGCCATCGTTGTCGTCTCCTTCGTCGTCGCTTGCCTGTCGCCTGCCGTTCATAATGTTATGATGGCTAAAAGCTAATTGCGTTTGTCTGTGTTAGTTGGTGACATTTGCCCTCCACTTCGTCCTGGCGTCCTACGTCCTTCTCCTCTCTCTCTCCCCAGTGTAGACGTGGCGGCATTAAGTGTCACTGGAGTGCGTGATCCTTGTAAGTCGTCTAGTTACACATGTTTTTATAACCTGTTTTGCCATAGTACCCTGTACGTCCTGGCCGCCAGCTCTCATTCTCTCTCACCGGGTGGATTAGTTGGGAGCTGAGCAGAGCTGATCAAGCAAACTGATTAAAATGGGGGACTCCCAGAAGGGGTTACCCGAAAGTAAACAAGGCCGAGGGCCCAAGGAAAGGTCTTCCAGAAAAAAGGCTCTGCCGGAAGTGAACAGGAATACATTTTAGTTGCTCAAAGCAAGCAAAATGTTACTTGTTGAATATTACTCAAAAAAATATATATATACATGTAAAATATTATGAAAAAAGAGAGAGCCCTGGAAAAACACCATTAAATGCTTTTAAATTATGCATTTCCCAGGTTTTTATGAATTTGTTATAAAGTAATTACCACTTTTGTCACACTGAGCTAAAAAATACATGCATTTTTATTGTTTATATTCTACCTAAAAGTGATTTTTTTTGTGCGTTTTCAATCTCCAATGATGGAGCGTTTCAGTGTAAAGTTGAAACAATACTTTGCAGTATTTTAGGTCACAGTTTTCACAAATATAAATGTAACACAATATTTTAGTTTAATTTTTGCACAAACAGCATACGCCATCTTCCCATAATAAACAGATTAATTAATGTAAACACAATTATATGGAGCTCTATCTCTAACGCAGGATAAAATGCGAAAATGTGAAATGTAAAACGCCATTTGGATTGCACTTCAATTTAAGCCTTTGCCCTCGTAAATAGCTCTTGTAATTACTGGATATTTAACCGTCGATTTTGGCTCGAATAGCTGCAAGGAAAGTCCTTGTCATCCTTTTGCTGTGTCCTTGGTATCCCGATCAACTTATTGTATTGTCATCCCTGGAAAGGCAAACTTCAGCCGCTTTGGATCACTTAATCAGCCGGACTTGGCCGGTTAAGGCTACGACTCGTCCTCCCTCCCAGCCATGACTTTACCTGTCAGGACGAGCAGGACTCGACCCGCTTATCACTGACAAATCACCAAGTGACTCCACTGAGCTGACAACAAGAAGTGTCATCATTAACGAACATCGGCCCCGGCAAACATTTATCAATGGCAAACAGAGACAGAGCCGGAGATGGAGATGGAGATGGAGATGAAGACCTGACCGGGTCGAAGGGCGGAGACGGACAGGCAAAAACAAACAAATGATGAGGCCGAAAAGGAAGGCGTCAGGAACTTTGGCAAATTAAATCGCTGCCGAGTTCCCCGGGCAAGGACCTAGAGGCCCTAACCGGGACAGGATGTGGGTGCGGTGTGGATAACCGCAGTTTGGGACGTCTGTGAATCCGGACCCCCCAAACAGTTTTGTTTTCCATCAAGCCACGAAATCAAGCAAATCGTATTAAATAACAGTTAATTACAAATACACACGACCCAAAGGAGGACCAGGACGAGACCCTACTCCACTATCGACCACCATCGCCTTCAGCTTCACTCACACTCTCTCTCTCTTAGAGCCTCATCTCGAAAACCTATCCCGTCCAATCCCAATGTCTGCCTTTCGCCATGGCAAGTTTTTGGGGTCAAAGGCAAATGGTTGATGCTGAATTAATTAATGATTCACTTGAATGATTGATTATTTGACTAAATGATTGAATTATGCGATCCACCCAGCGAAAGTAGTGGCAAAAATCTGTTGCCACCTTTGACCTTTTTGGCCAATAACTCAAGCGTGGAAAACCAATAAACACGCCCACACATCATGTCCTGTATATGGGATATTGGCTTCTGGACTCGCCCACAGACATGTACCAGAAATATGCCAAAACAGTGGGGAGTTTTCCACTCTTTCACTTAACTTTCTCTGTTATTTTTTTGTGTATGTTCCTAACCATAAAGACAAATTGTTCAAAGTCCTTGGAATGCACAAGGGTCTGGAATCGAAACCAGCAAAAGCTTCAGGCAACTTTGCAATTAGCCAGCTTCAGGGGAATCTTTTATGTTTCAGAAGGGGATTATATGTTGGTTGTATGGGAAATACTAGAAAAGTGCTTAGGTTGATTTTAAGAATGTTAAATAAAGTGTAGTAAAATAATTATCATCAGAAACTAACCCAAAGTAAGATGTAGTATATAGTTTAATCCTGTCACAATACCAAGTTATTTCCCCCCTGAAATTTCTTATAAAAATCTATCTACCTTTTTACTTATTTCCTAA